TAAAACAACTGCCTTAAAATATGCATGGCATTCTGAATAAGTAATAAACGAAATATGAAAAGAAAATAATTTACAGAATTTTTTCCGCTCAAGGGCCTGCTCTTGAATTATTTTTTTTTTAAAAACGTTATATCAGCTGATACAGTATGATTCCATGCGCACTTTAACTGTACTGCGATATTAGATAAAGATAAGCCATTAGATACTAAAAAGTAATTTTTTTTTTAAATTTTTTGATTACCAAAAAAGAGTACGTCATGCATTTTGGAACTAAAAAAAGGCGATTGGAAATCCAATTTCTTTATGCAAAATAAGAATTCCTGATGTCACGTTTAACATGTTTTAATTCGTCTTAGAGCATCATTTTTACATTTCATTTGTTAAGGTAATGTGGTAATTTAAATTCATTTAAACAAGGAGATAATTAATTATAGGACAGGCATATTGTCTTCCTATATGCATTCACACATATGTAAAAATAAACTTGTCAACGAAATTTTGAAAAAAAAAAAAAAAGAAAAAGAAAATGATAATCGTCCCTTTTTAAAGAAAGCATGACAATTTATACGTGTTGAAGATAATTTTGAGAATTTATTTGGGGGGGGGGATTTCCAAACGTTTATTAGAAGGCGGGGTCTTATTTATACAGTCATCATATTTGTACATTCATACAATGTGTCGAATGATAATATCAATGAAATATGTAAATATTGTTCCTGAACAAACTTGCGCTCTCTAAATTTTTAGGCTGAAATTGTTGAAATTTTGTCCTCTTTTTGAAAAAGGATATAAAATCGGACTGTGACATCATAAAAACAAAACTTTTGAATAAACTACTTTGAAACTATTATATGTCCTGTTAATTTATATTTCTCATACAATTTATTGAATTCAGCACATTTCAGGAAGTTTTCAAAATGTGCCTTTGTAGGGGCAAATATATGCAATATACCGCATATAGTTCTTTGTCGAGGAGGTTTTTATCGCGCCAACGCCTACCGCTTCATGGGCCTCGGTTTTTAAGGTTTTATCCCAATGTCCCGCAAAGTTCTTTCACCTCAGAATGCCGAGTGGGAAGGGAAGGAAATGTGCTCCCCTTTTTTCCGGAAATAGGTCAGTCAAGGACGTTATTCGATTACAAGGCCTTCCGATCAGGGAGCGAGCGCTTTTCAAGTGACCAGTAATTTATATCAAATAACCTAATTTTACTTTTACTTAGACCATAGAAATCAGAATTTTATCTACATATATCTTGGCGCAATATTAATTACAGCATTCAGTAATAATTAAAAAATGTTTGAACTAACGCTGCGTAACTCTGGATTTTTAATTTCATTTTCTATTATATTTATGTAGATTCAGCTTGTTTACGACCAAGTGTTGTGTGAAACAACAGTAAGTGTATTTTCATTTCAATTTTGTCTACATTTACATTTATAAATGTACGTAAATGAAATTTTAAAAGAGGTCGATCTGATACAAAGCAGATGTACAAAGAAACAAACACACATTGTGGACCGAGATACAGGCAATTTAAACAATTGTACAATGGAAAGCAATTTCCTATTGTTTTCTTAAAACATAATCTATTTTTGTTATAGAGTGAATTTGTACTTCTTTTTAAGGAAAAGTTCACTGTGAGTCCTACTCGGAAACATTCGGCGCAGTTTTAGCAATTTTAATACTAAAACCCATCCTCATTATGCATGATACACCGTAACTATGCAGTGTTGCATCGTTAACACTACCTGCTTAAACGGTTAAAAAGAGTCCCATTTATGCAAGAAATTTCCATGCATTTTTAAAATGTCTTTAACATTAATACCCCTTGAATCTGAAAAGAAATTCACATGTTTTCCAACTCGAGACCGATTCTTAATATTGATCTGAATTTAACTCGAACTAAGCCATTAGAATCCGAATTCAGCAACATATAATTTGGTGCAATATTCCAGTATCAATTAGCATAATTGTAAAAATAAAAATAAGACGAGAAACTTCGTAACATAATCTCTTGATATAAGTTATTTTTCTTCTATATAAAGGTTCGGCTCCCGTAGGACCAAGTGCTGTTTTGAACAAGCGTAAGTGTCTTAAACAAATTGATTAAAATTAGATGTTAGATCCGCTCGCATACTTTCTAAACTACATCTAATAACATCCCATTGAGGGTCACGTCAAAGGTCAAATTCTATCAACTAATCAAAATCATTATATATTGTTGAAGAGAATAAGTCTAGAGTTGTTCCGAATTTGACCTCTGACGTGACCCTTTATGGAGTTAGATATTAGTGTAGCAAGTATGCTAACGGATCTAACATCTAATATTAAAAAAAAATTTAAAACCTTTATTTTTATGCGCCCGGATCGATAGATCCAGGGCGTATATTGTTTTTGTCCTGTCTGTCTGTCTGTCCGTTTGTCTGTCTGTCTGTTTGTTTGTCCCGAACTTTAACCTTCACCATAACTTTTGAACCATGAAAGGTAGAGACTTCATATTTGGTATGCATACTCGACTAATGAAGCTCTTTCAAATGACACCAAGGTGACCTTGTGACCTTGACTGTGGCCTATATGCTAAAAATACTTTTTTCTGCAATCTTTAACCTTCGCCATAACTTTTGAACCATGAAAGATAGAGACTTCATATTTGGTATACAAACTCAACTAATCAGGCTCTTCGAAATGACACCAAGGTCAATGACCTTGTGACCTTGACTGTGGCCTTAGTGCTAAAAATAGCTTTTTACGTACTTTGTTGCTGCCAGGCGCATAGTGTTTCACAAACACATCTTGTTTAAATATACTTTTCAAAAGTAGATGACAGGGTCATGACCTTTATCATCAACCGGAAAGACCGAACTAAGACAACAGTGTACCAGAAGTATATAGAAGGAATCACTGTAAAAGCCATAAGTACGTCCCTTGGATTGCAGATCTCTGCAGACTTCCGGTCTACAAGGAATAACTTGGAAGTGGTCTTATGTAACTTTTTTTTCAATCTCATATCAGAAAAAAAAACCAGATAATCAACTTAATAATCCATGTAAAAATTGCTAGCATTTTAAAAAAATATATTATATTTTTGTTTTAAAGTAAACATCAGTCGTGTATTTTAGTTTTACCTATCTGATAAAAGCTGGGAACAATATGACAATGCTTACATGTATATGATAAAAGTTTGGGACACTAGAAATTACTCGAATAAACTATTCACTGTATTTTTTTCTGTAAAACACTTTCAAAATAAATGTCTATGACTAAAAGAATATCACGCGATTTATAATAGACTTGATTTTATCAAACAATATTCTTGGGGTACATACAAGTATGTATAATCTAGTAGAATAAATAAGAACATAGTATTTTTATCGTATCTTATGATATATAAAGATCCTACATCTTTTATCGTTCTATTTCATTCTGGGATGTTTTTAGCTCACCTGAGCCATTCTGATCAAAATTTGTCCGTTGTCTGTCGTCGTTGTCGCGTAAACTTTTCACATTTTCATCTTCTTCTCAAGAACCACTGGGCCAATTTCAACCAAATTTGCTACAAAGTATCCTTGGGTGAAGGGAATTCAAGTTTGTTCAAATGAGGGGCCACGCCCTCTAAAAATTATGAATTAGTGAAAAATTAATGGCATTTTAAAAGAATTTTCTTCTTGAGAATCAGGAAAGATGAAACTCATGTTGAATCCTTCTCATATAGTGTAGATTCATGTTTGTTCAAATCATGGCTCCCGGGTGTAGTGTGGGGCCACAATGGCCGATCAAAGTTTTACATTAGAATATATAGGAAAAATCTTTAAAAATCTTCTTCTCAAGAACCATTGAGACAGAAAAGATGAAACTCATGTTGAATCATCCTCAGGTAGTGTTCATTTAAGTTTGTTCAAATCATGACTCACGGGGTTAGGGTGGGGCCACAATGGTCGATTAAATATTACATAGGAATATATAGGAAAAATCATTAAAAATCTTCTTCTCAAGAACCATTTGGACAGGAAAGATAAAACTCATGTTGGATCATTCTCAAATAGTGTACATTCAAGTTTGTTCAGATAATGGCCCCCGGGTGTAGGGTGGGGCCACAATTAATGGACGATCAAAGTTTTAAATAGGAATATATATAGGGAAATCTTTTTTAAAAATTCTTCTCAAGTACTGCAAAGCCATGATTAGTGATATTTTTATAGAAGAATCCTCAGATATAGTTTGTTCAAATCATGATTCCCCAGGGACAGGGCGGAGCCACAATGGGGGATCCAATTTTACATTGAAATGTAATTTTAAAAATCTTTTTCTAAAGAATAGCAGAGCCATGATTAGTGATATTTATAAGGATGAATCCTCAGGTAGTGTAAATTAAATTTGTTCAAATCATAACCTCCAAGGGTAGGGAAGGGTCTGAATGGTGGATCAAAGTTTTACTTAGGAAAGTCAAGGGAAAAATCTCAATGACAGAAAAGCTATGTTAAATCATATTGACATATAAACATCCTCATGTATTGAAGATTTAAATCTGTTCAAATCAGGAGTACACTTTAGCCTAGGGTAGGTATAGAAATGAATGATTATTTTTGTGCAAAGATTAACATTCATGCACTGTAGCAAGAAATTTAATCGATTTAAAAATGAAGCGCGAGGTCAAATGCCGGTCATATCAGATGCAGTATATTTTTGTCTAAGAGGTTAATTATATTATATTATATTATATATAACGATATATTAATACCATACATTAATGATTGCATTTATGCAATGGTTTTCACCCATCAAATTTCCCGCGCATAGATGGCGCTCGTGTACTAGAGGTTATACTTTCGGAATACCTCGGACGACTTTCTAAAAGAAGCGAAAGTAAATTGCATGAGTTCAGTCTAATCTTTATCCAATTTCTGTTGATATTTGATTCCAATGCCACAATATTGTTGTGTACCGAATTGTACAAACTTTGGAGGCCATAAATTCCCGGAAGACCCCAGTATAAGACAGAAATGGCGCGTGGCCGTAAGAAGAATGGACCCAAAGACAAAACGTTTATGGCAGCCTGGGAAGCACGACGTCGTGTGTTCCTCCCACTTCAGAGACACAGATTACAAGATCACACTATTAGGTTAGAACAGTCACATTTCGTTTTTCCAATTTTTATAAATATTAACTTATTGTCACTTATCAAACCTATTTAAATGATACTTTATATAGAAATCTTTATTAGCTCAATAGCTGTTGATCAGCTGTTGAACAGTTTTGGCCAGCTAATTTTAACTCTTGTTTACATTAGTATAACCATAATTTTGTATAAATTTGAGGCCTAAGCGGTAATGATATTAATAAATGGGCTATAAAAAATTGATTATATTGTTATTTCGAACCCCAGGTTGTCTTATGTAAACAATGTTGTGCAAATGTGTAATATTGCAGAAGTTTATTTGTTTGTTTATTTTTATGTTCTGTTGCTTTGACTTTGTTTGCTTTGTGGTTTGTATTTATTTTTCAGGACCTCATATCACAGAATTTTGGTGACAATGGGCTGGTTCCAAAGTCAACAAAACAGAGCATATGAAAAGGATAGGTGGTTTTGTACCTAAGGCATAGCTAGCCAGGATAAATTAAAATTTGCCCAGATTTTTTACTTTTTTTTCTTGAATTAATGAATTGATACTCAATTATGTATATTCCTTTTCAGTCAAAATTATATACTCATTCAAATCATATTATTTCTTGAAATGGAGAAAAAAGCAACTTAACAAGAGAAAATTGTATAGCTCTTTCATTGTAAAATTACATGCATAACTAAAAAGAATGTAAATATTGTTGAAAACAGAAAGCATTCTGAGCAGCTTTATGTTATTCAGGTGAACGTCCAAGACTGAAGAAGGGAGCAGTGCCTTCCATTTTCCCTTTTGCCCTTTCATTAACAAATGATGAGAGTCCAAGGTGTCAGAGGAAAAGGAAACGAGAAGAAGCTTCAAATGAGCAACACGATTGTACGGAGGTTCTGAATACAATAGAAGTGGTCGATACCCCTGAGATTCAAACCTCTATTACAACTGAGGCAATGGATGAAGGTATACCTGTGCAGGTGAATCAGGGAGTACAGTGTGAGCTGAAAACGTTTGGTAAATTTTCTGTTCTAAACTTTGAAAATGATCCCAAAATGATCAAATATTACACTGGTTTTTGCGATTTTATGCAGTTCATGTTTTTTTTCAATTGTCTTGGACCTTGTGTTTTTGAGCTTTTTCGACACACCACTCTTATGGATCCTAAAGATCAGCTTTTTATGGTTCTGATGAAGCTCCGACAGGCCAAAGAAGATATTGAGTTAGCTCTTTTTTTCGGCATTTCTGAGTCCTCCATATCTCGTATCTTCAACACATGGTTAAATTTTATATATTTTCAACTTAAAGAATTAAGCTTATGGCCATCAAGAGATGTGATTCAACAGTTCATGCCTTTTGATTTTGGAAAGAAATTTCCTAACACGCGAGTCATTCTTGATGCTACAGAACTTCCGATTAACAAGCCATCAAATGTGAATGCCCAGAGTATAACATGGTCTGCATACAAACATAAAAATACATTGAAAACCATGATAGGTTGTACTCCAAGAGGTGCGGTAAGTTTCATATCCAAAGCATATGGAGGATCAGCAAGTGATCGACAGATAATTGAAAATTCTGACCTTCTGAATCCAGACCTGAAAATGTTTGAAAAGGGAGATAGTATTATGGCTGATCGTGGCATAATGGTGCAAGACCTGTTTGCTTCCCAAGACGTGTACGTTAACACCCCAACAATGTTGAAAGGGAAGTCACAACTGGATCCTGAGGAAGTTATCCGTGATAGACGAGTGGCATCAAAGCGAATTCACATTGAGCGTGTTATAGGGCTAAGCAAGGGCTTCAAAATATTGAGGCACCCTCTACCTCAAAGCAAATTGCACCTTGGTTCTAGAATTGTTTATGTTTGCTTTGCAATATCCAATTTCAGGAAATCAATTGTTGATAAAAATGCTTAATTCTGCAGTTTTCTATTTGACTGTCAAGCTTAAGTGAGTTGAAGAATAACAAAACAGTTGTTTTAGTGTCATCCTAAATTTAATTTAACATGGCATGTAAGAATACACTCATATACATGTACTAATTTATCAAAACTTTCTTTACTTATAAACACTCCTATGAATGTATTTGTAACCTTTCATCTTTCAGAGTTTAGCAGATTATCATACTACAGCAAATTAAATACTACATGTGTAATGTAAGAACCATTGGTATCTGTGGTGAAACTAACATGACTATAATTAGACTGTGGATCAGGTAAGTTTATCAACAAGAGGCCCATGGGCCACATTGCTCACTTGATCAAATCAGTATGTAAAAGTTTTAAGATATGAGATCTCAATCTATGAAGGGGGAGGGGGCATGATTTGGACAATTATAAATTTACAATAAATAAGGATGCTTCAATAAAATTTCTTTGACTATTAAAGGCTTTGAAAGATAATAAAAGATTATATCCCTATAAGTTTTATCTTAATTAATTAAAACAATAATAATTTAAATGCCAGGTGGTTCTTCAGAAGAGGTCGAGAATGTGAATAATTTACAGACTTACGGACAGACAGACAGATGCCAGACAAAATATCAGAAAAGCTCACACTGGGTTTTAAGCTCTGGCGAGCCAATAGAATTTTCAATCATAGATTATATTACAATTTACCAGGTACTTCTATATTGAAAAGATTATCATGATGTTATCAAAACATGTAATGATATGAGTTTTAAAATTACCTATTAATGTAAGTGGATTGCAATGCTCAAAACAAATATTTTTTCTTATTGATGCATAATACTTCAAAGAGTAGATGCAATAAAAGGTCTGAAAAACTTGGTGTAGAATGTTTCTAGCTTTGGAATGAGTGACCCAGTACAATATTCTTCATCATACTTGATTTTCTCAACAAACAAATCTTTGAAAGTGTATACAACAAAGTAACAAACTTTTTTTTGACATATGTGAAGTTGCCCTTGCACTTGATAATAGTAATTGCTTGTTCTTTTTAAGATGATTTCATTTGTTTCATTATACTCCAAAAATCTAAAATGCTTGCCTGGAAGAATCTTTTCATTTCTTCCTGAATATGGACATTTAATTTCAACAAGACAATCATCATACAATAAAGCATCAGGTGTAGCACCTAGAAAAGGTTTAGATGCACAAATGCAGAAACCAACAGATCTTGCTTTGCAGTCATATTTTAACTCAAATGACTTCAATGCCTTTGACTCGTAATTTTTACCGTGTGCCAAAGCACTGTTTTGTAGAGAGTTGTTTACAGACAACAGATTTTGACAAAGTTTGGTGATATTTCTTCTTGAAGTCAACTTGCAGAGTTCTCCGAATCTTGAAGCTGTAAGACGCCAGGATCTATGATGAAACCATAGTTTGCATGATGCTTGTTGTCTTGTTTCTTTTTCAATCTTTGTTATGTCTTCTTCAGTCACCTATTGATTTAAAAAAAAAGCATTACCAATAAATGGATTTTAGATGTACCTTGAAATTTATTTTTCCATCTATGCATATTTATTTCTTTTATCCAATTAAATTTCTATTTTAATATCTACTACACATTTAGTAATACAGATTATTCTAATAAGTTGATGGAAATATTTTAACAGAAAATCAAATTTTAAGCCACATTTTACATTGTATTCTTACTGATAAAGATAAATGATATACATGTGTCACAGGTGGTGAAAAATCAAGTCTCAACCAGGACTCGAACCCAGGCCCTCTGGCATACCGTGCCAGCTCTCTAACCACTGAGCTATTGAGACCCGATGTATTGACTGACTTTCACGCACCTGTGAACCCGGTGACACATTTAATTAGTGTGTTTACAAACCTTGTTTGCTTCATCCACCCAGTACTCTGTAATAGGTATACTAGTATAATGATGATCAACAGCAGCAACCTGAAATAAAAAAAAACAAAAACATGTATATGGGTTATAGAATAAATCTGATTTTATGAGGTGAATACTTGAGAAGATGAATAAATTTTAGAGGTTTATGTGTGTAAATACATTGCAGTATAAAAATAATGCAAAATAAAATGGCACCTGTATATCGGCCTTTTTAAAGAGATATCTGAGTGCAATATCTTGTGATGTCATAGAGCAGTAATTGATAAGCTGACTCCGAACATAATCTTGGTAACCTGGCATTTTTCTGAATTTTGCTGGCCGTGGATCCTCCAAAGATTCGTCAGACAGTTTTCTCTTTGATGGAATACTTTCTGCCTCCACTGGGACACCTAATTATAAAAATCACCATTTCGAAATATAACTTACATGCATTTCCACTTCATTAACTATACTCGCTACAAAAGCTTACTAATAAGAACCTGTCAAAATTATTTTTGAATTTGATATGATGTATTGTTGAATTTCTTGCAACTAATTTTATTTCTTAACACAATTTTTGGAATTCATTTTAATGAAATTTTGAAAATGTTCATTTTTTTTTTTGGCCAATTGCTCTTACCATGGTAAGTTGCCTTTGGTTTGTGGAAAAGCTGCAGATTTTCAGTACAACTTTTATCAACAGCAACATTCCCTGTCTCTGTAAAATGCTGCAGCATGAGCATGACAGCAGCTAGGTGCTTACAGGTCCCATGGGGTCCTTTTCCTGCCGGACACTCGCAGTCACTATTTATGGCATCTCCTGTCCTTTTGTCCATTTTCAGTTTATAGTTATAAGAAACCTAAATGTAATATAACATTTTAAAAGGCTAGTTTCTTAAGATTACAGAATATACAATTGCTTAATTATTTCACTTTGTATACATTCATAAACTCAATTCTTGCATATTGTCACAACTAGACTTCAATATTAGTTTCCTAAAGATACCTTATTTTTCATCGCAGCACCAACAATCCCCGTAAAGTAGATGTCATTTTCTTTCACAACAACAGAGCATGCCTGCACTCTATTCCCTTGGAACATTGCAGAACCCTTGGACACTGCCTTAATGTCTTTCGTAAACTGCTTATCACCTGGAAGTATTTTATAAATTAAAAAATATATATGGGTACTTATACATGGTTTAACAGTTTTTAAATGAAAAAAAAACTATATTTATAATAAGTTTTCAATCATAATACCTAATTAATAGGTATGTTGTTAATTAGATTGCAATAACTGATTACAATGCACTCTTTAAAACTTTAAATCTTTATAGTTTTGAATCTGAAGTAGTATTATATCATACATACCTGCTATTCTGTAAACAAAATATTGGTTTATCTGCTCCGTAGTTATTTTTGGCAGGAAAACTTTATGTTCTTTCTGGAGCTGTTGGTAGCCAGACACTGGCCAGCCCACAGATACAGGGGTAGGGACACTTTCTAGCGGAGGGGGTTGAAAATCTCTGTTTCTGTCATATGCTTTCAATCTACAAAATTTTAGATAAATCGAACACTTTAACCTCTATTTTCGATTTTCATTAATTTCAAGAATAAGAGCAGTTTCAATAAAGTTAGGTACTAAACAGGTGTACAGTTCAGTAATGTCCCATATTTCAGTAATGACCCATATATATTTAAAATACGGTACAATAATTTATTGAAAACAACATAGTCTATTTGTAATTTTCTTGTGCATAACGAGGCCAGCACCTATGGAGATGGCAATAAGAGAATTTGTGTTTATTTTTCTAGAAGAAAATGCTCATTTTTTACTACCTCAATTCATTAATTTACGGTGGAATACTAAACGCATTGCGAGTAAGGAGTAAACTATGTTGTTTTGTATGCCTTAACTTCAGCATCATCAATGATATCGATGTCAGAAAAATTGCTTTTATGAAATATATAATACCTTTCAATAAGTTCTGTTTTTCTCCCGCCAACACTTGCACCTTTTGTTGCCAATTCAGCCCTCAATTTAGGAACGCTCCATGTCAAATATGACCGCGACGCCATACTTAGCTCCAGCGCATAACCGATAATACACGAGCGCCACCTACCGTGTAATGACGTGAATGCTTACTAATATTCCTTATACCTATTTACAAAAAACGTGGCAAATAATTTGCTCCTATGTTATTAAATAATACTTTTCGTTTATTGTTTTCATTTGTATACAGTTGGTATACTGTGCAGGTGTGATTTTCCTATTTTCGTTTTAGACGGCAATTAATTTTCTATATACTAATATGTACCGTAGTCTGTAATTATTCAAAAGCATCATATTCTTGTGATTTATATTTATAAGAATTTATTTGCAATGTGCAGTGACATAAAATGTTTATAAAAGTTGTGATTTTGTTTTTGTTTTTGTACAATAGGGTATATAAGTGTTTCACACCCTATCTCAGTAAAAATATTAATGATATCTATTTTTTTGCTTTTGAAGTAGATAAAGTATCTCTTAATGTAAACAGAACAAATCTTGCACTGTTAATCAATACATTCTACGAGTTGGGACCTACGTTAAATTAATGTAAAATTATTACGATGATAAGCAAAGAAAAATTCTATTTCATACGAAAAAACAATTTTCTAGATTATGTTTTCAAGCAGCCTACACTGTACTTAAAATACGAGAAATAGTTGTACAAAACATTTAAACATATTAGTGACTTGATACAAAAGCTTAATTAGAAAAGAAAGGGTATTAATATGTGCATAGTCTGTTGAAAAATATCAGATGTGCATACTTAAAGTACAATGCTTCTGAACATTGAGAGATGTAAATTAAATCTGGACGTTTCGTTTAATGTTTGTATGATGTTTAACGTCCCTCTCGAGAATTCGCCACTCATATGTAGACGCCACCACTTGCCCATGGAGAGTTGGAAATTTTGTCATATACTCGGTATTTATGGCCATTGAGCAGGGAGGGATCTTTTTCGTGCCAGCACCTACACCTACCTTGGTTTATACAGTCTCATAAGAAGGACCGATCTTCAGGTCCCATGTAAAACTTTTATCACCACTGTGCCTCCCCCTATCCCCCAGGGGGAGTCATGATTTGAACAACACTATCTCAGGGTGCTTCATATCGAAAAGACTAATAATGGCTTTTTTGTTCTTGAGAAAAGACTTTAATTTCTTTCTACAAATTCCTGTTTAAAACATTGATACCCCATTGTAGTCCCATCCTATCCTCAGGAGTCAATACTACATAAGGATGCTTCCAATATTACTATTAACATGACTTTTTTTCCTAGAGATTTCTATGTAAAAATTTGACCCCCCATTGTGACCTAGCCCTTTTCCCGGGGTCATCATTTTGAACGAACTTGAGTCCAAAGTACCTGAGGATGCTTGTAGATCAATATGACCAAACATTGCTTTGTACTTTGCAGTTCTTGAGAAAAAAGTTTTAGAGATTTTTTTTTTAATATATATTCCTATGTAAAACTGTGTGACCCTAGCCAACCGGGATAATTATTTGACCAAACTTGAATCTACCCTATGTGTTTCAACTCTTTGGCCTAGTGGTTCTTGAGAAGATTCCTAAGTCATGCTATAGCAATTGTTATCTTTTTCTGAATTATCATCCTTTTGAAAAGGGGCGTGACCCTTCTTTGAACAAATTTGAGTCCACTTAAACGAAGCTTGCTTTGTGGCAAATTTGATTAAATTCTGCTCTAAATAAGACATTTTTTAAACATTAAAAGATGTTTTTGAAAAAAAAATCCTGGATCCGCTGTTTTTGTTTTGTTTTTTTTTTTTTTTTTTTTGGAAAGTTCATATAAATATCAATATAAATATAAAATTTATTCAAATATGTGTGGCAGTTGGCAGTAAGCAGCTGACAGTTGGCAGTAAGCAGTCAGCAGTTGGCAGTACGCAGTTGGCTTTCGTATATGGCATTCCATATGTACAAGTATATATTTATATTAACTTTTATTTTAAGTGTTTTCTTTTCAAACATAGAATGTCTACTTTTCTGGAAATCCAATATTTTTATGCAAATTTTTCAAAGTCAAGTTTACCTTATATATACTCAGTATACATTTTTAATCGTCTTGTTAACTACATGAGTATATTGTTTTCGTTTCAGTTTCATCTCCAATTAGGAGATGCTTTTGTTAAAACACGACATAAACATTCTATACCTACATGCAGACACACCTGATTAAATCAAATGTGTCAACAAGCAAACTAAACACATTAAATGATAAATTACTGTTTTCACACAGCGTGACAATATATACGTCATAATAATAACCAGGGGGTTTCCATAGGTCTATTTTTGCTATTGTTCAAACTGAATGCGTGCAAAATTATGCTATATAAATAAAATTTAAAATAATTTTATCTAGTTTTAATCTAAAGAATGGGAATATATAAAGGATTTGTTGCGTGTGGAGTATTTCTCGTGTGCCTTGTTTCATCTCAAAAATTAAAAACACCTGAGGTAGGAAACTTTTCAGTCATAATCTCTTTGAAGGAGCAAAAATCTTAATAAAAATCCTAAATCTGATTTTAATCAGATTGAAAAATCCTTCAATGTTACTTAAAAAACTAAGGTTTAACATACTATTTAAATTACTTAACATTTAAGACTGCCAGCATAAGTACCACATTTTTATGAGAATTTTTATACAAACAGTAGGGTGTCAAAAGTGTTGAGAAAAAAAATGGCGTCACTAAAATAAATAATAGATCCGCGCGTATTAAAAGTCGTGTATTTTTGTTCAGAGTTGGAATTTCGGAAATCCCCCTGAAATATAAATAGGTCAGTACAAATGACGTATAGCATGACGTATATTTCGTTATCTGCTATAGTTTTGTTGACGATCTAACTCGGTAACAAAATGGAGACGAAACGTCAGGAAATCTCACAACCCCTGAAACAAGTTATTGTGGAACTTTACTTAAACGGAGAAAAAATGTCAGCTATTGCAAGAAGTGTTAATAGGTCTCTGGCTTCAGTATACCGTATTGTACGTAAATATCAAGACACAAGATCAGTGGAGAATTTGCCAAGATCGGGTCGGCCTCGTTCTATCGATGATCGGGACTATCGGAGGCTCCAGAGGATTGTTAATAGAGATCGGAGAGCACCCTTAGGAGAAATTACAGCGCGATTTAATGAAAACAGGGCAACATCTGTGTCTCAGAAGACTGTCAAACGTCGACTTAAA